AAAGTGTTAAAAACCGGAATTCTCCTTTAAGTACAGTACTGAAGTATTTGTACTTCGTTACTTGACACCTCTGCTGTTTATATATATATATATATATATATATATATATATATATATATATATATATATATATATATATATATATATATATTACTAGACCTACTACTATAAAACATAATGCACCTTATCAACACGTTTTATCTAACGTTTAAAACAGGAAGTTGAAAAGCACTTGTCCATAGACACACAGAAGCGTTTTGTTTTTTTATCTCCAGGTGGTGGCTGTGTTCACAGACCAGCTTCTGCTGTCAGGACTGGAGGCACACGCCGTCAGTCAGCTCAGCACCGTGTCTCCACTCCACCGCCATCCAGAGCCCATTCACTCATTACAGCGGACACGCGTCCTGGCTGCGGCCTCCGCCTTACCTGTCAAACTCAGTTGTCCCGAAACGCACAGACCACCTAACTAACTGAACCCCCACCTAACCTCCCACCGCCTCCATCTGCGGACTGCAGGCGACCTTCTTTCCCTCCTTTTATGGCTGCTGTTGGATTTCAGCAATTGGAATAAAAGGATGTTAGATTATTTTAGCCTAAAGTTGGGTTTTCTGATGAATAATGGAATATTTTGCAACGATACACTGCCTAAAGCATTCAGAATAACAGCGATAATTATGTTTATAGGCTATTTAAAAATACTTTTTTCACATGATTTTATAACCTCCCGAATTGTGTTGGATCAAAATATCTTATTTTCCTTAAAGTAAATACCTATATATATATTTTTATATATATTATTATTAAGGAGGCTGTTGTTTTTGTGCAGATGCGTTGCTAAAGACAAACAAGATTTGAGATGGAGGAACAAAAAGTTTCTTACTAAATGGTTTGAAATGTTTTCTCTTGGAAAGCAAAAGGAAGCCTGCGCCATTGCGTGTTTTTTTTATTCAAAATGTTTAAAAAGTCTGTGCTTTTGTTTTGTTTTTTGTTTTTATTATTGGGGGGGGGATTTCCATTGATGTTTCTTGCAGTCTCCCATTCACTGGTTGCTTAAGTACAAAAACTATGTCTACAAAGGGGCAAATCTGTTCGCAAAAATGTTTTTCTCTTCTAATAAAAGGTCAGCTGTGGACCCCTTTGAGTTTACAACTGATTTTATTTCTTTTTGCGTTTTATTTACTCAATTTCTTATCTCTGAATTTCTGAAGCCTTCACCATTGCTTTCCTGCCTAGAAAATAAAAAAAAAGTTGTGCGTAAAGTGTGCGTTATTTTGCGCACAAGTTAGTTTCTCCTCAAATGAAGCCCAATCCTTGCTCCTCCTCTTGTCGATCCCTCCTTTCCATTTTTTCTCTCTTCCTATAAAAACTGGCCTCCAATTATAAAACTTTTACTTTTTTCTACCCAACTCTCTATGTGCATAACTTTGTATGAAGGGTAAGTTAAAAACAGAGGCCATGCTTGATCTTTTCTCCTTATACCTGATATGTTTGGGTTTTACTCACTTAATGACCCCTTAATGAGCTTTAATTGTATCACGCCCACCAACCTAAAGTCATAAAATAGTGCGCAAAAATTTGCGCAAAAGTAAAACATAAAATAATCCCTTTTGTACTAATACGATTCTTTTTTTATTCCCTTTATATACTTATTGAGAGCAATTTTTAATACACCAAATAAATAAGACATCAAAAGAAATTCAGTAAATCTCTTTATTATTGGACTAGATTGTAGAAAATATGGATATAACAATTATTCAACATCTGCTTGTGAATAGAAAATAAAGAGCTGGCAGTATAAAGACACAATGCATGGCTATTGCACTCTCTTTTTGGACAATAGCTGCATAAGTTTGATCATCGTGACATGATATAATGCAATAACATGGTTTTGCTGTTAAATAAGACACATTGGTGCTATATAATAAAAAACATCGGAGTGTCAAACCCCTGCTGGAAACCTCGTGAACAGAAGAGCCAGAGAATAATAGACTACACGTCTACGTTGGCAGGAGGTATTAGAAATAACTTCGCAATATATAGACAAAATATATACAAAAATGATGTGTACAAAACATCTATAAATCTCTTACATACAAAAATATCTTAATATATTCCCAAAACGTCTGATATAGAATTTAATAGAATAAATCCGCGACTTGGAAGCATTTGAACTCAATTCAGCTTCTAAGAGTTTAACCAAAAAAGGCTTGATGTGATTGGATTAGCATAGATGAAGAGCGGCGTATTAAATAATGTTTTTGTTTTCTGAAGAGCATGAATTCACGTTAGGGTATTTTTTTATCAGATGCACAGGAATTGAGGTTTTCCCACACTGTCTCCTTTAATCCTTTGGCGCTTTTTTGCAAAGTTCTCAGGACTTTGCGGACTTTTCAGTCAGTCAGTCTGTGAGGACGCAGGATTTAAACAGCGCATCTTGTTCTCCTCCAGGGGCCATCCCAAGCACCGGACAACAGCAGGATGAGTTGATCCGTAATTCTGAGAGAAAGAATGAAAGAAAGTTAGAAAACAGTTTTAAAAGAAAAAAAAATTTTTATTGTTTAGGAAATAACTGCCTCATCTTACCTCAGAGATGCTCAGAACCAGTTGGTGAAGTCCAGCAGCTCCTGCTCCTCCGGACTCAGCGGGTCATAGGAGCCCTCATCGGATGAATAGGAGGACACGGGTGACCCTGCCATGGAGTTCATGTCCGCAGAGTATCCCTGCGACATGCTGGGCGACAGGACGCCGGACTGGAAGGCCGCGCTCACCGCGTCGTGCTCGTCCAGCAGCTGCTGCAAGGCGCGGATGTACTCCACCGCGGAGCGCAGCGTCTCCACTTTGCTCATCTTCTTGTTGGCGGCGCCGTTCGGGACGTGCTCCCTCAGCGTGGCGAAGCCGTTGTTGACCAGCTTCACCCTGTTGCGCTCCCGCTCGTTCCTGCGCGCCACCGCGTGCGGCTGCTGTTGCGGGAGCGTGTAGCCGAACCCCGCGAAGTTGAGCCGCCGCTTGCAGCGCAGCAGCTCCGGTGAAGAGGAGCGCTGGCGCTTGGGCTGCTTGGACTTCCCGCTGCCGCTGCTCCCGCTGCTGGGGCTCAGTTGGATGCTCTGCGCCGAAAAGTAGCAGGAAGAAGGAATCAGCTGCTGCTGACTGACGTTAATTTCCATTTTCGCTGTAATGTCCATCTCCAGAAAGTTAGGTAATTGGTCAAACTTTAAGTCTCCTGGCGGTGCGTCCCGCTCGTGCCGTTCACGTGGTTCGACCGCACTTGTTCCAGTGGGGGCAGTCTGCCTCTGAGAGCTGAAATGTGTCCTGGAAGAGAGACACCACTGCTTTTCAATGCGTTTGGATGAGGGCTGGCCACGCCCACTGGTCGCGTGGATACACCTTGGGCTCCTGCGTTGGGTACCGGTGCGTCGCGCGCGCCTGACGCGTGCCACTTCAAGTACTAAACAAACAGCGGTGGAGAGGTTTGTTTCTTGGCAGGAGGCGAGACGAAGGAAACCTTTTCACAAAAACAACAGTTTGTGTTTTGAATGTGAGACTTTTCTTCATTTTGAAGGATGTGCATAAAAAGCTTTTTAAAGGAAAGATTGTGATGATGAGCAGGTGTCCATGAAAAGTCTGCGCATCAGAAACCTATTGAAATGTTTAAGTTACAAGGAATAGTTCATTTGTATCTACACCAGATACTAATTTCCTTTTATAAAAGTATTAAATGTCAAAAATGTAAACATATTTGAAAAGTTAATTTGTTTCATTTAATTCAGAAGAGACTAATTCAAAAGATGAGGTCATTTTAGGATTCTCTGTACTATTTATTGCTTTTTTTTATTTAACCAAAATAAAAAATCACAGTATTTGATATCCTATAACACCAAAGTATTTCGTCCTTTAAAAACCTCGGGGCGTTTACTGATCTGAGTGTCCTTTACACCCCCCATTAGGAGGGTTTCCTTGTTTCAAGACTTTGCTTTTTAACAGATGATGTAAAGGTATCTTAAACGAGTAAGAAGAAAAATGTCTCAACTGTTTTCCTCCATTTAAGTTTTAATTTCATGTGGAAATTAAAGATCCAGAATATGGAGGGACAGTAAGAAGAAAAGGAATCCATGTTGTTTGAGGTACAGCAAGTTTCCAGAGTCGATGATGGGGAAAAGGGAGAAGAAACTGACTATTTTCTATAGGGGAAAAATTTTCTAAATTGAGTTCGATTCATTTTTGGCTATTTATGTGAATAATTATGCAAAGTTTTAAAAAAGTAAGTTATTTCAGGCAGAACTCAAATGAACCAAAATCGTGTACTTAAATGATGTTTTTATATTCTAAAGTAAAATTAAATATAGTTTTGTTTTTTAATGAAAATATTTAACTGGAAAGTTGATTTTATTCCAATAAACATGATTACAAAGTTTTTAGGTTATTTTATGAGGGAATGTCTGCTCTTTGGGGCCCCCTGCTGGTGGCGTGGGGGACTCAAGAGTCAACTTTGTTCCTCCATCCATCGGGTCAGCAGTGAAGATGAGCGGGGATTTATTATTTAATTTTATTTTTTAGGTTTCTGGGGATGTTTTTTTTTTTTTTTTCAAAAACCTTCAGGTTAATCTGAGTACAGCTGCTTCAATCACATTTAGTATTTTTCCAGACATGCCTCATTAAAGTATAAATTGTGCATCAGATGCCAAATTTTCCTCTTTGACGGGAGCAAATCGCTCTGAGTTACACGGGCGGAACACCGAGGCGCAAATCTGCAGGAAGGCGCAGAGAATCCACCTTTTTGTGTCTGATTTGACACACCCGCTGGGGTTTCAGTGGAGGGTCTGTGCTCATCACCGAAGAAACGACGAGGAATAAAATAAGACAGAAAAAAAACAGGTTTTCCAGCCTGTTTTTACGCATAACTCCCCCTCCCTAAAATAAGCTGTGCATGCTCCCCTTCTTCTATTTTCTTTCTTTATGCTTCTGCGCGCGCGCGCCTGTGCACGCACGCATTGTTGAGTTGAATTGTAAAATTGCGCACATTTTCTGTTGGCAGTGGCATTCAGGATCAATTGGGCGACCCCCACTCCTGTATGCACTTTTATACTTTCTTTTCTTTCCTCCCCCTCGCTCTCCCCCTCCTCCCCCCTTTTGGCTCAGCAAGAGAGTTTAGAAAAAGAGGCGTGGGTTCTATTCAGCGTCCCCGGGTTTCCCCCCCACACCCCTTCCCCATCAGCAGCCTTTCTGAAACCTATCCATGCCCCCTTGTCAGCCTGCTTCCAGGCTCCAATTAGCGCTTTGTGCGGACTTTGTGGGTCTTCCAGAGGCTGGGAGGGCGCTCGCTTTACTTGAAGAGGCTTTCCAGTCAAGGCTGAGTGTAATAATTATTATGACATCCGGGCGCACAGGTTCCCATTTAACCACTTAGTGTTTTTTTTCCCTGCTTTTGTTCGAGGGGTTCACTGTCCAGGAGAATAATAATAAACAAAGGAAGTTATAAGCACCAAAACTAATTTGTTGGGGATGGAAGGATTACCCTCCAATTGGTTTCTCATAAATAAATAAAAAAAATCCTTTAAAAAAACAGAGGAAATCTGATGTAACATAAAAAATATCATCACTTTATTATCTCACAAATGTGTATATGCATAAAATAAATGTAGATATATGCATAAAGCTTTAGGCAAAAACTTGTACTCTTCTCAATTAGAAGAAACTTTTCCATTCTGCTTGGCAGGATAAGATATAATAGAATACTGCCCTCTAGCGGTATATTTTCCTGATTTGTTATTTTGGACTTTTAAAGATGCCTTTGAATATTTTATTTCACACGATAAAACAATTTATACATCAGAACCACAGCAAGCTTATAAAACATTGATTTTATGGATTTTTTAAAAAGTTGTACTTGAGAAAAATCCTTTTTGGCATCAGCAGGTAATTATAGCTGCATATTAAAGAGTTCCTTTGTGATGGTTGCATTTTGAAATGTCTTTGATACATAGCTTTCAAGTTTTCAAAAAGGTTTAGGTTGTGTTGTTTGGAAGGTTGTACCAAATCCTATATGTAAGCCTATTTTCTCCTTTCAAACCAGTTTGGATGTTGGTATCAGATCAATTACAGGCATCCCCAAAGTCGGTCCTCGAGGGCCGCTGTCCTGCAGGTTTTAGAGGTTTCTCTGCTTCAGCGCAGTTGATTCTGATGATTGCAGTTCAGCAAAAGCATGTTAATCAACTATCAATGTAAATCAGCTGTGCTGGAGCAGGGAAACCTCTAAAACCTGCAGGACAGCGGCCCTCGAGGACCGACTTTGGGGATGCCTGTCCTATTAGAACATTCCACTGGCTGAATGCTGCTTTAAGCAGAACATCAGGAATTTCCAACTCAATCCACTTTGTGCAGTAGATCCGTTTGCAGCCCCACAGACGGATGCTGTCAGTGGTGCAGTGCGACTAGATTCAAAGGCCACACCCGACTCTTCTGAACTTTATTCATGTCAATACAGCTAAGGAGCTAAACTTAGACAGGCTTAAATTGTGATTTTTTTACACACAGAGTGTATGCAAAAATAAATTTCCTTCAGTACAGCTCTCAAGACATTTCCAACTTTAAAGTGCAGCGGTCATAAAATGTAAACATGGTGATCAAATGTAAACATAAGACTGGTATATGATTTACAGTTTTCAAATATTCAGGACTTTTTTTCACACATCAGTTATGATGATACCGGCTCGGGACACGCAGAGCTGGGATGAAATGTCTTAATGGAGGGAGAAGGATCGCCCATGATCCTTTTGGCAGTTCGTCCCACTCTCCTCACTTTCTTCCAGTCTGAGGCGCTGCAGCCTCCACCCCATACAGTGAGACAGCTGGACAGAACGCTCTCCATGGTGCTCCTATAGAAGGTGGTGAGGATGGGTGGGGGCAGGTGGGCTCTCCTCATCCACTGCAGGAAGTACAAGCTTCTAATAAAACTCTTTAAAACTAAAGCTCTTTTCTCTCCAGAAGCTTTTGGATTTTTCATGGGCAAATACTGGATAAGTTTGAAGGTTCTGTTTTTGAAGTAGTGGCTTCTTTCAGTCTTTTTCTTTTAATCATGTTGAACACTGGCCTTAACAGAGCTTCACAAGCAGTTCTGGGTCATTAGTCACCTCCAGGAAGAGTAGCTCATGTCATCTTAATGTAATTGCTGTGGGCCAAGCACTCTTGGGAAAGGATGACACTGTTACATGTTTTCTAACACATACTGTTCCACTGGAAGCCAATGGATTCTAACCTTTTCCAGAATCATAACTTTTTCTCGTTTGCTTGTTTTTTATCATTTGATTTGTTTGACCATGGGTTTTGCATTTGTCTTTATTAAAAATGTACTAATCTGTTTACATTTGCCTTTTAGGAATAAGCTAGTTTAGAAAATTTTATATGATTTGATCATTTTAAATTGATTCAGGTCATAAATAGAATAATAGATATTAGAAAAACATTTACTTATTTTGTTCTAAACCTATTTAAACAAAATCAAAAATCTTTAAAAAAAAAATAATTAATTAATAAATACAAAAAAAAAACTGGGCTCATATGTAACCATTAACTGTGTATATGTGTCTGTGTGTGAATAGAAGCATCTTCTCGTAAATAACTTTATGTTTTGTTATGTTATTTCAACCATGTAAGGATTTAGAGACCTGCAAGGGGACTGCAATTTGGAATTAGTTTAATCCTCGTGAGCTATGAATCAAATGTGACATTTATGCTGAATTTATATACTGTCCTAGATTACTACGTAAAAGAGATGGTATGGAAATGAAAAGGAAAAAATATTCGTTTGCGCGCATTAACAACTTGTGACCACTAGATGTCCTCATTTCAACTTAAAATGCTACAACAAAGTCGATGAAAATATTTCCTTTTAAGTGTCATTTTTTTGTCGTGAGATTGAACTGTTCTATATTTTGATTCTTACCCACTAACGTACTAAAATATGTTGAGACCTTCTGATATAATTTTGAAGTATGTTTTTCCCAATTTTATAATAGGAATAGTAGAAAAGCATGTAACAAGAGACATTTCACACATTTATAGTTATCTTTACAATAAAACTGTTTTAGAACATTTGTTTTAGTAAGCTGTGAGGACTTTTTCACCTTTTTTCAGCCTTATTTATATGTAAATATTACCGTTTTGTGCTTGTCCCACACCCAGACTTTTGATCTTCAATGATAAAAATGGTTAAAAAAAAAAAAATCTAATATTTTTAAATATCATTGAATAAAATATCAGTAAAATAATCAAACTATAATTGGAGTATTTAATGTCATACAACTGATTATGTGATTTTCTAAACCAATTGTTATTGTCCCACACTATTGTCATAATTTCCACCACAACACTAATGTCCCTTTAAAAACTTTGTATGAACACTGGAAAAAATGATCTAGAAATATTTAAAAATGTCTTAAATTAAGTGTATTTATGCTTTATTTGAATAGGTAAATTTGATAATTTATCAATGGAATGAGTATTTCTACTCTTAAAATAAGATCATTAGATAATATGCACTTGAAATAAGACAATGCAATTGTGTTTTCTTATTTTAAATCTAAATGTTCTTGTTCTATTGGCAAAATGTCTCTTTTATCTCCTCAATTCAAGAACAAATGCACTGTAACATCAACTCAGTTTGGAAATTAATTGTTATTTTAACACACATAGATGTATTTTGTAAACATAAAATGCTAGAGACCCTTTCTTAGCTATTATGTGATGCAAGCATAGATTTTCCTGCCAATTTCTGTCAGATTGTAACTTCCACCACATTGCATTCTAAGGTGGAAATTACAATGGTGTGGTGGAAATTACATTTATGTGTGTAGGCGTAATTCAGGGATACATATACAAGGCCCTTGTTCTCTCAAATTTTATTTATCTCATTTTATTATTACAACAAGGTGGTAATACTATAAGATAACACTCTTTTAGACAACTTTTGACATGTTTCTAACTGTAATATACATGCTAAGCATTTTGCCGTGGTGCCACCCCTTCCCTCCCACCCTTAGTATCACCTATGCACAACTGCAATTAATTTATTATTATTTAATAATGTATTTATCATTATTATTTATTATTATGTTCCATAAAATTTTTAAAAAGAAAGGTTTGTTGTCTGTATGGTCCATTCATTGTAATTTCCACAACAACCAGTAATTTCCACCACACCATTTGTTTTTAAATAAATTGTTGCAAAATTCTAATCACTCATTAAAACCTTCTTCATAACTTAAGAGATACTTTCACACTTTAATTAAAAACACAAGTATTTACACCTTAAAATGTATCTTGCAATTCCAATGCTATATCTCAAGTTATGGCGGACATAAGATTCGCGTCTTGTCCTCATCACAATTAATTTATTTAATCCATAAATGTGTTTTACAATAAAGGCATAAACAGTTAAAACTATATATGAAATTGTTCTTCCAGTGAAAAAAACATGATGTGTATCGTAGTATTTTAGAATTAATGAAAAATATTTATGTGATGGAAATTCCATTTGTGTCAGCCGAGTTGGGAAAAAACACCAATTTGTCTTAAAAAATCTGTGTGTTTTCTTATGACTCTTTAAACTAGACTAGTTATGCTAACCAATTACATTGTGAGAATTTATATTATATTATACTTTTTCTCTTCAAGTTTGCAAGGCCAATAGTAAGGCAAGGCAAGGCAAATTTATTTGTATAGCACAATTCAGTGCAAAGACAATGCAACGTGCTTTACATGATTAAAATATAGGAAAATAAAACAGAATCAAAGCAAGAAGGGAAAAAATAGATAAATTTAAAAAATGCAGAAACAAAAAACATTGTTATAAAAAGTGCCTTTAGTTTAAGAATCACCCAGAATCGTTTTTTAGCACGAAAGTTATTCTGCGATTTCGATTGTTCTGTCTCTTTCGAGCTTCCGTTGGTTTTGGGTCACGTGGGTTTGTTTACCCGGAAGTGGAGCCTCCGTTAGACGAGTTGGGCTCAGTACCTGATTTTTTAGCTTTTAGTGAAGTATAATATAAGTTTTCTACATATAAGCTGAGCGGGTTAAAGCCCAACAACGATGCGGTCGTTGAACTTTGTTCACCGGGTCAGTTTGGACTTTACAGGAACCATGTTTCCTCACGCCATCTGCCTGGGCGACGCAGACAACGACTCAGTAATAAACCTCTTCATCTTTCTCCAGATCATCATTCCTAATATTTCTTATAAATACCTAATTTTTGTTCAGTGTTCATACTAAATAGGAAATATACATGTCTTTAATTAATACAGTTTATACGAGTTAAAAAAGGAAATGCTATTTATTTACAAAACTGACAGCTCAAGAAACCTGACAGAGATAACAGATTAGTTGTTTAAAATCTGTTTTTTATTCATTTTAAGTTATTAATATTTTAGTCTTTATCTTTATTGAAGATCTAATTTTAGATCGACCCATCTGAAAATGAAATATTGTGCTGTATTTAGTTGCATAATACAAACCCCTTTATTGGAAGAAATTTAGCCAGTTTTTGTTAATGAAAAACTAATGTGTTAAACATCATATCATCTTGTTTTTGTTTTGTTTTGTTTTTTTATCTGAGGTGCAATGCAAGTACTAGGCTTTTTATTTATTTAATAAAATCTGATTTTTAACTTATAACATTTATAACTACAGTTCCTAAATTGAAATGCAAGAGGCTAATTCATGATTATGCTGATGATGATTCTCAGTCATCCAGGTCATATTCATTGCAAAAAAGTTAAAAACTCAAAGCTTTTTCTGATATTTTGAATGTTGAAAAGTTTTATGGATGGGAAGCGAAACGTCTTCAAACTTGGAAACAAACTCCAGTGGATTGTTTTTCAACTTTTTTGGAAATCCATAATTAAACTTTTTTTGTTGTTGTGTTTCTCTCCCTACAGCTGAACGAGCTAATTGTTGGAGATACAAGTGGAAAGCTCCTCGTTTACAAGAACGATGAATCCAAACCTTGGATCACAAGAACCTGTGTGGGAATGGTTGGTATTAAATAGCAAAAGTGCAGGGAAAGGGTTTGATCTTTTGCATGTTTTAACTTGCTTTGTTTTGTTTGTTTTTAGCTAACTTGTGTTGCAGTTGGAGATGTCTGCAACAAGGGAAAGGTAAGCAGGTTAAAATCAGAGGCAGCTGGATGTTGAAAGGTTTGCAGGTGATTTAAGCTTCTCCAGTTTTTTTCCAGAATCTTGTCGTTGCTGTGGGAGCAGAAGGATGGTTTCACCTCTTTGATCTGACTGCTGCCAGTTCCAGTAAATCAGACTCCTCCAGCCAGCATGAATCCCTGTCTCATGATGATCAAAGGCCCTTCTTCACCCAACACATTCCTGCAAACACTAAAGTCATCCTAATTAGTGATATTGGTACAGTCCTTGCTTTTATTTAATGTCTCACTCAAACCATGTCTCATGCAAAATGTTATCATGATGTATTCATCTCTGTGTTCGCAGATGGAGATGGCCGCTGTGAGTTGGTGGTGGGATACACAGACCGAGTAGTCAGAGCGTTCCGCTGGGAGGAGCCGTCCGACGGCTCGGATGGAGGATTCGGTCAGCTGGTTCTCCTAAAGAAATGGCTCCTGGAGGGACAGGTCCACATAACTGCTTTTAAACATTATTTATAATGCATCAGTGTTCATAGTTTTACTTCTGAGATTTATATTGCAAAAAAGGGGTGCCTAAAATAAAGAAAAAACTGTAATAATTCTCAGGGAAAAGCTACTCAAACCAAGTAAAGGTATCTGTTCATGCAGGTAGATCATTTTACTTGACAATATATCTTAATTTAAGATTTTAAAATCTAGAAATAAGCATCTTTAACACTAAAAATTAGAAACGATTTCTTAAAGGGGTCATAGAATGCAAAACCAAGTTTACATTGTCATAGATGAATAATGATAGTTCAATGGGTGAAATGGACGTACAGAGCAGTTCAAACTCCATCGACAGTTTCTTTCTCTGCAAATCTCACAATTCTAAACTTCCACCATAAAACGGGCGAATGCAAACGAAGCCCTGAGATGACATAAACTCGGGGATTTTGCCTTGTTTGGTTATGGCCTGTACGTTTGTCATGCCCCGAAATTGACAGACCGGCCCGCTGGTTCACTGGGAGGGGGTTCCAAGGGAGGGGAGTATGAAGTTTCGACTGCTGGGCCGCTGACTGGACCGAACCTCAGCAGAGAGCCATTAGCTGCCCGTCCAGGCTACCATCAACGGGTCGAGTTCAGACGCTCCGTCTCCCGCTGGCTCCCTGCCCCTGTCCGCTGGGGTTCCCAGACCAGCCCCGGAGCTTACGGCTCTGTTTAGTGCCCGGTGTTTTTCGACTACGTGCTGCATTGTAGTCGACCAAAATCCTGGGTGATTTTGAAATTCCCCCGGACATTTTTTCAGGTATGAAAAGTAGGACATGTCCAGGAAAAAGAGGACGTCTGGTCACCCTACCATATCAACATTTTGATGTTTCAGTGAGTGAGTGCTTGTTGCTATGATGCGTCTTTGCTCAGCAGCTTCGTTCGTTGTAAACCAACCAATCAGAGCACAGCTCATCTAAATATTCATGATCATACCATAAAAGGAAGAAAACCTGTCGTTTCATTCTGGGGGTTTTAACCAGGCTTGCATTAGGGCTCATAGAACAGCTAATATGCCATTTTCAGCCCAACCAATGTTACACACCATATTCAGAGACCTTAAGGACCAGCACCAAATACCCTATATAATCATTCTATTACAATATATATGATTGAACACTTCTAAATATATGTTTTTGTTTTCTTATCTTGGTGAGATCCGAATAATTTGCAGTGCAGTCAGGCAATTTTTGAGCCAAAACTTTTGCAATTGCAATCCTTCAGTCAGGAAAAGAAAAGTAAACTTTTTAACATAGGAAATTTAATTATTACCCTTTGAAAAGAAACTGCCTAAATACTCAATATAATTGTCAAACACTAGGGTTTAAGTTTTAGGAATCACTTTTCATGATTGTTTTTTTTTTTTTTTTATAATACTGACTAAAAGCAAACAGGTTGTGCCCATAAATATTTGCTATCTTCTAATCTACATTCTGGTTCTGATGCATTATATACCTGCTCCTTGTTTTCTCTGCAAGAAACACAAAGCAAACCAGATTGGAAACCTTCTACTTTATTAAGTTTTTCCAAAGAAATGTTTGGAGCTTTGGTGTTTATTCTGCAGGTGGACAGTCTGTCAGTGAACCCGGGTCCTGAGGGTTTACCGGAGCTCATGGTGTCCCAGCCGGGCTGCGGATACGCCATCCTGCTCTGCACCTGGACCCAGCAGGACTCCACCGAGTCTGAGGATGACGACCCCGCCACGCCCGGCAGGTAAACTCGGTCAGCCTGAGATTGAAAGGGCAGCTGTTGGTTGTAGGGTAAGCTGCATGTTGTGTTCTCACAGTGAGGGACCTTCCAGAGATGTAGTTCTCCACCTGACCAGCGGGCGGATACACAACAAGAATGTTTCCACTCATCTTATTGGCAGCATAAGCAAAGGTAATAAACAGATCAAATTATTTTAAAAAAATTCACTATTATCTTGGATTATAATAGATTATTTAATCTTTTCTCTGTTTTTCCATTTTACTTTGTCATCGCTGGTAATTGTCCGAGTCAAAGCGCATCACTTTTTTTAATTCTAGCTTGTTGAAGTGGATTACCTTAATAAGATGGAAATGGAAAATATATATATATTTTTAAACTTTAATTGCATTTGTTTTCTTTAGCTAAGGTTTTTCCTTTTTTACCAGGTTCAAAAGAGGAATCCTCTAAACGTGGACTGTTTGCACTTTGCACGTTAGACGGTAAATACCTATTTTTGTTCTTTTTGACCAAACAAAGCTCACCAGTAAAGTATCATGAGATATTAGATACTTTAGTGAAGAGCAGGAGATTTCAGCTTTGCCCTGAAATCCAACCACCAGAGTTAAATGAATGGCTTATTAGAAGGCATCTACAAGGCTTTGGTTTTGTATTTATTTATTTATTTTTATTTAAAAAATTTTTAATTCGTTTATTTGATAGGGACAAGTATGTTTTATGAATCATGTCACACACTACAACATTTTAGCTAAGGCTAATTCTCAATGCCTGTCCCCAGTTAGGCTTGTGCACAAAACACGGTGACTGTACACAATAAACAACAGAACAAATTACACACTAAAACATCACAGATACAAGATCAGGTCAGTTAGATTATTAATGTTGACATGTCTGACCTCTCAATAAAAAGTCTTTAAGTTTATGTTTAAAAATGACCCACTTTGACCTTCCCTTCAGTTCAATTCCATGTTTTGGTGCCTTGTACAGTGAAAGCTGATCGTCCGAAGGAGGTTTTGCATCTAGGTACCTGACATTTTCCACTGTTAGCTCCTCTTGTGACTGAGCCCACAGCTCTGAGAGGAACTACACAGTCACTCAAAACCTTAGGGGTCTGATCGTACAAGCAAGAAGTTTTCAAAATTTTGCATTTTTGAATTGTTCAGACTAACACAGTGATGGGACCTGATTGTTTTTTTTCTAAGATTTTTATAGCTCTATTATATGTCATCTGAAGAGGCTTGATAGTAGTAGTATTTAAAGTAGAGCTAGACTGATACATCACCCGGCTGACATATGTGGGGTTTTTCTTGCTTTGGCTGATATATTTAAGGCTTCGCCAGTTCTTTAGCGCTTACTGCAGCCATGCTTTAAGATCCTGTGAAATGCATGTATTGCTGCATTTGTTATCCAATTGTTAAATGTTTTGTTTTTTTATGATTTGTTTTGATTGAGACTTTTTTAAGATTGGTTATCATTTTTATTTTGATCATGTACAAGACGGAAGAAGTCAAATCTGTTTCAAGAAGTGGCTCGAGAAAACAAGCAGCACATATCAGATAGACTGATGTTAAAACAGCAGGCATTAGCCCTGCCTTAAAGGATCACACTGACCTCTCTATTTCGATTGCTTTTCACTGTGCTCTTTACAATTTTGTTTATTTATTTTCCTTTTTTTCTCTCTCTCTATATGTATACATGTTAACACTTTTTTATTATCATTATATTGCCTCTTTCTTTTTTTTTTCTTTTTTTGTTTCTTTCTTTTTTTGTGTTGGTGTTGTATTCTGGGAAATCTTATCAAAAATAAAGTACAAAAAAGAGAAAAAAAAGGATCAGACCATCTATAATTGATGTAATTTATGTTAAACCTCGCTGTTTTTTATGTTTTTGTCTTAATCCTCTTCTGTCCCCAGGAACCCTGAAGCTGATGGACAGCTCAGAGCAGCTCTTGTGGTCGGTTCAGGTCGATCATCAGCTCTTTGCTCTGCAGAAACTCGATGTCACTGTGAGTCTTTGTGTATGTGTGTTAAACCAATAATTAGTTTCATTTTGGATCACTTTTTTAATTACAAATCTCTCAATGAACCAGTTCTATCTCTGGTAAACACGTAGTGAAAACCAAACGATTTAAACTTTAAAACAATGATCTGTTGGCCTCTGAAGGCTGGTGGTCAGTTTGCAAGATTCCTGTTAGTATCTAACTGAATATATTACATGTTTTAGTCATTTGGGCACAAAGAATAATAAAATAAGTACACCTCTATGCAAAGTATTTAAAGCATTAAGTGACCAACCTGTGTAAAAATGTTCAACACATTACCAAGCTATAGAAACAGCTATAACATTACAAAGGGACTGGAGCTATTTGGAGCAGGATTATTCTCAAGTGGAAAACCTTTTGAACAGCGGCTAAGCTTAGGTTTAGATTAAAGCTTTATTTTTTATTTGTTAGCTACCAGATGAATTAGCAACAACGCTTCTGTCATTTGTTAAGTCTAAAACTAAGCTGTTTGTAAAATACAACCCCATGTTTGGAGAAAACCAAATGCAGCTTTTCGGCAAAAGCATCTGCAAACTGTGAAGCATGGTGTTGGAGGGGTGATGGTTTGGGCTTGACCTTAACTTCCCTGTGCCTCGAGATGTTCAATGAAATGAGAGGCCCTCCATCAAACTGTGTCATCAGTAGAACGAGGATTTCTGGCACTGGAGAAATCTGAAAGAGCAGGAAATGCATCACTTTTCATGTTTTTCACAGATCAGACAGAGACTCAGGGTCGACTGCAGCCTTTTTCTCACCTCTACTTCCTCTTTATCATACCAGAGTTATACTTTCTAACCGCAGAAGCATCCATTTGAATCCAAATAAATCAGATTTTTTTTTTTAAAGAGATGATTTTTATTGCATGAACAAACAATGTTTACTCATGTTAATGAGGTGATAATATATTGAATCAATTTATGTTAAATAATCAAGTGTTATTGACTGTTTTGTTGTTCTGCTAAATAAAACAATTATAAACCACCTTCCAATTCCATGCCATGTATTGAAATACGTTCACCTGGATGTTAACTTGCAGGGAGACGGTAGAGAGGAGGTTGTGGCCTGTGCCTGGGATGGTCAGACCTACATTATTGATCACAACAGGACCGTGGTGCGCTTCCAGTTTGACGAGAACGTCAATGCTTTCTGTGCAGGTACTAAAACATCCTCGTCATCAAGTTTCATTTTCATAAATATGCTTTCCTTATGTTTCTTTACTGCTATGTTTCAGTTATTTTATGGCTTTTCTGAATCATTGCATGTCAGCAAACATAAAATGAACACCTTGGTTCAGATCTTACTTGATAAACAAATCAAACGTAAAAAAAAAAAAAAAAAAAAAAGCTCAGTTTTGCCCTTCAGGTAAACAACCGTGTTGTATTTAAAGTTTTCCACACTAAAATGGCTTAGAAAGCATTTAAACAAAAGCAGCAAAGGGAGGCAGCATTTTTTGTCCTTTTGTGACTAATTGAAATATTTTCTTATTAAAATAAAAGCATAAACTAAAGCCATTAGCTGGCCGATTTTATTCATTTATATATTGTATTTATTGGCGAGGGACAGACAAGTTTCATTCATTTGATTGTTCTTTTTTTTTTTTTTTTTTTTAAATGCCTGCTTAAGCTATTGATGTTATGTTTATTTAAAAAAAACAATCCTGACACTATTTTCAGAAAGGCTTCTCAGAAAAAATAATAGCAAATAAGAGATGGCCCTAAATGTTTGCACAGTTTTTTTTACATCAAGATGGCTGCAAGCAAAGACAGCCAGCTTTCTTAAAGCTTATATAAAACTCCAGAGATCATCTTGGTTCTGGTCCCAAAAAAAAAGAAAGAGTTTGGTATGATTTGCATGAGGCTTCCATCTGTGTGCTCTAAACCTTTTAGCTCAAATAACATCATCTGGTTTGGATCACTTTAATCTCTCTAGTTTACAGACATCTTTCCAAAGGGGTGCAATTAAAGTTGCAGATCATCACAATCGGAAACATTTGGAAATGAAAAAGCAATTGAAAGCAAACCTGAGGCTCACTTTTTAATAAGAGTTATAATAAAGTTGCTCTGTAGCTGCTGAGTTTGGTAATAAGCAGCTAATCACAAACACATCTAATCCTCCCAAATGACTATGCAGATTAAAGTAGATGCATCAATTTTCTTTTGGCTTTTTTAATGGAGATGAACAGAAAAGATCAACTGAAATATTGGGAATCATTAGAAATATTGCCATGAAATAATTCAAACAATTTTTCAATTATATTTGGTTTAATCTTTGTCATACGAAAAAAAAAAAAAGATCAATACTGTATTTTGGTGTTTGGAGTGCTACACCTGAAACAGCACAATACCAAATCCGAATCAGCTTAATTGGACAAATTTGTGTGCTAAAAAAAAGATTTTTGACTTCCTTTTCTTTGCACACAAATTTGAGCTGATTTTGATTTGGTATTGTGCTGTTTCAGGGGTAGAATCTTCTTATATTAAATAGAAATAGACCACCAGATGGCAGTATTGGGCTTCAGTCTTTGTGCCTGGTTCAATCTGTTTCCTGATTTGCAAAAATCTTAGTTCATCCATAAGAAATGACATTTATCTCAGATTTATTTCATCTCTGGTATGAAGATCAAATCCTTAAAGTCGCTTTCTACTGTCGACCCTCTCAGCTGTAGAAACTGTGCTTAAAAGTAACATGTTTCCTTTGCATTTGCTTTGTTTGTTGAAGCCTTTAGGCTTCTAGCCATTTTCTATAGTTTCAGATTTTGTGAAGTGATTTTCTGTTTTTGTCTATTTTGGATTTTGCATCATTCGTGTATTTTTAGGGCATATTTTTGTATGTTCTGCATTAATAGTTGCATCTATTAAGCACTGTACTTAAAGTGGAACTCACCCCAAAATCAATGTTTTTATTTTGTGGCAGATAATCTGTATAAACTAGTTCTATTAACCAATGTAATCAAAGTGGAACTCACCCCAAAATCAATGTTTTTTTGTTTTTTTGACAGATAAACTGTTTCAACTAGTTCTATTGGGCACCATTTTAATAAAGCTGTGCGTTTATTACATTTTTATGAGAGATTTTATTGTAGTTCTGCAGTATTTTTCTCTCAAAACCACCTTAGCGTTAGCCTGACGTAGTCCTACTCAATTCTAGTCAGAATATGAGTCTGATGCTGCTCCATAGAGCTGTGATTATGGGGCGTGTTTCGAACGAACCAGGAAAAAAAATGCCTCTGCACTCAATTGGATAGACCTACAACCAATAACCCCAGGCTCACACCGACTCTGGTCTTACCGTTGC